TTATTTTTTTTAAGCTAAGAAGATCAAACTGGGCAAAACATATTTAACTTTCTTCCATCCTTAGAGAATGCTTGTAATCCCAGTATTCAGTAGGCAGAGGAAGTAGTTCAGCAGGAGGATTGGAAATTCAAAGTTATTCTCAGCTACAAATTGAATTTGAGGTCAGCTTGGACTATATAGGACTCCATCTCAAAAGAACAACAACAACTAAATAAATAAATAAGGAGTTCAAGATGGGTGTGGTAGCCTGTAACCCTAGCACTCTGGAGGTACAGACAGGGTGATCTGTAAAATGAGGCCAGCCTGGTCTACATATTAAGTTCCAGTCAAGACAAAGCTACATAGTAGGATTCTATCTCAAAAAATCAAACTGGATGGGGGGCTGGAGAGATGGCTCAGAGGTTAAGAGCACCGACTGCTCTTCCAGAGGTCCTGAGTTCAATTCCCAGCAACCACATGGTGGCTCACAACCATCTGTAATGAGATCTGGCACCCTGTTCTGTATACATAATAAATAAATAAATCTTAAAAAAAAAATCAAACTGGGACTGGAGAGATGGCTCAGAAATTTAAGAGCATTGGCTGCTCTTCCAGAGGTCCTGAGTTCAATTCCCAGCAACCACATGGTGGCTTCCAACCATCTATAATGAGATCTGGTGCCCTCTTCTGGCACACAGGCATACATGCAGGCAGAATACTATACACATAATAAATAAATAAATAAATCTTTTAAAAAATCAAACAAGAATAATATTTCATTTTTTAAAAATTTAGTGGCCCCAGTTTTAAGGCTCAGCATACCAATTTTAATTGAAATTACACTTTTGGGGACTACAGTCTGTCTTTCTCTGTCCTACCAGCCAGCTCCCAACTAATGACACAGAGACTTATTAATTATGAAGCCTTGGCCCATAGCTTAGGCTTGTTTCTAACTAGTTCTTATAACTTAAATTAACCTATTTCTATTAATCTACATCCCGACACATGGCTCATGGCTTCTTACCTCATTTCCTACACATCTTGCTTCTTCTGAGTCTGGCTGGCAACTCTGCCCTTCTTCTTCCCAGCATTCTCTCTGTCTTGAAAAATCTTGCCTGGCTATTGGCCATTCAGCTTTTCACTAAACCTATCAGAGTGACACATATTTATAATATACAAAAAGAGTATTGCACAACAGGGGACTCTCTCAAGAGAATGCTCTCAGGTATGTTTTTCTTTCTGAATACTTTCTCTTAATTCTAAAATTTATTTTAAAATATCTTTAATAAACTCCAAGTCTGTTTCATTGTTTTTAAAGGAGAGATTCCATTTTTGTGTAAGTGTAAGGTGTTTTGTTTAAAAAGTAATTTCTTTGATTTTTAAAAAAATAAACTTAAAAAGTCAACAATAAATTAAAGTTTGCTTGCAGCCAGGTGTTTTGACCTATGCCTGTAATCTCAACACTAGGGAGGTTGAGGCAGGAGGTTCACAGCAAATTAGGGGTCAGCCTGGACTACATAGAAAGGCAGTCTCAAAAACAGCAAAGCCAGATGTGATGGCATGCATTTTTAATCCTAGCACTTGGGAGGGAGAGGCAGGCAAATCTCTGAGTACAAGGCAGCCCAGTCTACATAGTGAGTTATAGGACAGCTAAGGTTACATAGACCCAAGTCTCAAAAAAATTTTTAATTAACAAATTAATTAATTAAAAATTTATGAGTATAGGTGTTTTGACTGCAGGTGTCTGTATACTACATGTCTGCAGTACCCACAAAGGCCAGAGGAGGGCATGGGATCCCTGCAACAGGAATTACCGGAGATGGTAAACTGCTGTGTGGGTGCTGGGAACTAAATCTGGGTCCCTGGAAAAGCAGCCAGTGCTCTTAACCACTGAGCCATCTCTCCAACCCTTCTAGCCCCACCTTAAAAAAAAAACCCACAAAATCTCACTTTGTGGCCCAGGCTGGCCCAGGTCTCACTGCACTCTTCCTGTCTTAGCCTCCCAAGTGTTATTATAGTCATAGCCATGGTGCTTGGCTAAGAGAGATATAGAGACAAAGACAGAGTTTATAGTTTTCCTTAAAAAAAAAAAAAATGAACCAGGCGGCGGTGACACATGCCTTTAATCCCAGCACTCGGGAGGCAGAACCAGGTGGATCTCTGTGAGTTTGAGGCCAGCCTGGTCTACAGAGCAAGATCCAGGACAGGCACCAAAACTACACAGAGAAACCCTGTCTCAAAAAACAAAAACAACAACAAAAAAGAAACCCCCATGGGCTGGAGAGATGGTTCAGAGGTTAAGAGCACTGGCTGTTCTTCCAGAGGACCTGGGTTCAATTCCCAGCAACCACATGGTGGCTCACAACCATCTATAATGAGCTCTGGTGCCCTCTTCTGGCATGTAGGCATACATATAGGCAGAACACTATATACATAATAAATAAATACATCTTTAAAAAAAAAAAAGACTCTTTTAAAAATGTTTTCCATAAACTATCATTAAACTAAAATTATTCCCTAGAAATGGAGCCAGAGGATGGGGCTATTAACATGGGGGTTAAAGGCTGCTTTAGAAGTAAGCTAAGGCAAATAAATACCCTGAACGTTCTAATATTTCAAGTCTAATTCAATAAAGGGACTGTAGCTAAGTTCCTAAACTTAAAATAATTGCCTTATGAATAGTCATATTGAATTGGTTATAACTGAGGAGCACGAAGATTTGTGTTTTATATTTAGCCTAGATATATGCTCTTCACTGGGGAAGCTAAGTGATGAATTTAGCGAATCAATTATCTGAAAGACTGAACTGTGGATATGAGGAGAAAAGAGTTCTCAGCCCCTGGAAATGCTTGGCTGCACAAGCTGAGAAGAAAAAATGTCTTTTGTTGTTGTAGCAAGTTCTTATGTATTCCAGACTGGCCTGGAACTTGCTGTGCAGCTGAGGGCGACCTTGAAGTTTTTTGCTTGTTTGTTTTTGGTTTTGTTTGTTTGAGACATGATCTCACTAAGTAGCACTGTCTGACTAGAAATCAATATGTAGATCAGGCTGGCTTTGAACTTGTGCCCATTATAATGTCTCTGCTTCCCAAACTCAGGGATTATTGGTAGGTATGTACCATCTCCAGTTTATGTAGCGAGGACAATCAAAGGACTTGTATGTGCTAGAAGAACACTCTACCAGTTGAGCTATATTCCCATCACCTTGGGAGCAAAACTTAAATGTTATGGTCTGTATTGGATGGTTTTGTGCGTCAACTTGACACAAGCTATAGAGTCATCAGAGGAAGGAGCCTCAGCTGAGGAAATGCCTCCTTGAAACCCAACTGTAAGGCATTTTCTCATTTAGTGATCAACGTGGGAAGACTCATCCCATGGTGGGTGGTGCTGTCCCTGGGCTGGTGGTCATGGGTTCTATGAGAAGGTGAGCTGAGCAAGTCATGGGAAGCAAGCCAGTAAGCAGTACTCATTCATGGCCTCTGCCATCAGCTCCTACCTCCAGGATCTTGCCCTGTTTAAGTTCCTGTCCCAACTTCCTTCAGTGATGAATAGCAATGCTGAAGTATAAGCCAAATAAACTCTTTCCTCCCCAACTTGGGTTTTGGTCATGATATTCACAGCAACAGAAACCCTAAGACATGGTCTGAATGATTCTGTCCTCTTAAAATTCTTATGTTGAAAGCTACCCCTCAAGGTGATCATATTGAGGAAGTGAGGCCTTTGGGAAGTAATTAGGTCATCAGTGTGGACTCCTCTTTTTGGTGGGAGGATCTCACATAGCCTAGGCTGTTCTCAAACTTGCTCCAAAGCCAAGGATGATCTTGAACACCTGACCCTCTTCCCACTTCCCAAATGTTATAATTACAGAAGTACGGCACCATGCCCTGCCAAGGAAGACTCTTCCTGATAGGGATGAGTGTTCTTACAACAGAGAACAGCTATCTCCTAACACATGTGAGAACACATCAAAAAGGTATGGTATAGGAATATACAGCCCTTACCAGACAGAATCTTCCCAGTACCTAGATCTTAGACTTCTTATCTCCAAGTTGTGAGAAATAAATTCTGTTGTTTATAAGCCATACAGTTTATGGTACTGAGTTAGAGTAGTCAGAACAGAATAACACAGTTAATATGCCTGAAATAATAACATAATACTAAACAGGGTGACTAATTACGGATGCCTCTGAATTCAGAGTGGGAGACAATAGATGAGTGAACTTCCTGTGATTTTAAAGAATCATTGAAAGCTGAGTGTTAGCAGGGCATAGTGACTCATACCTATAAACCTAGCACTTGGCAGGCTGAGGCAGGAGGATTACTTCCTGGGCTACATAGTGAGACATTGTTTCAACAACAACAGGCTGGAGAGTGATAATGCAAACCTGTTGTCCCAGAATCATGTGAGGCTAAGGAAGGAGGATGGCTTAAGCACAGGCTTTCAAGGCTAGCTTTCTGGGCAACATAGTGAAACCCATCTCAAAATGTCAAAGTTCCTTCCAAATTACCACACAGAGGCTTATATTAATTGTAAATGCTTGGCTGGTAGCTTAGGCTTATTACTAACTAGCTCTTACAACTTTACCCATTTCTATTAATCTATGTGCTGCCCGGAGGCTCATGGTTTACCTCTACCTCATTGTGTCTCTGACTTGTTCTCCCTCTGGCTGGCAACTCCTCTCAATCTGCCCTCCTTCTTTCCATCATTCTCAGTTTGGCTTTCCTGCCTAACTTCCTGCCCAGCCACCGGCCTGTCTGCTTTTTATTAACTAATGAGCATAATATATATTCACAGTGTAGAAAAGGATTGTTCCACAGCATTTCCCCCTTTTTGTCTAATTAAAAAGGAAGGTTTTAACTTCATCAGAGTAAGATTATGTACAACAAAAACAGTTATATTTTTTTAAGGCTGATATTCCATTTACTTGTGTTAACACTGAAGACCCTTCATACCTCCACAAGGGTAACTACAGGAGACGTGCTCAATCAGTGGTTCCCATATCTAGAAACACACTGCTCTGAGGACTATTGGAGCATTACTTCCACTACAGAAGGGAGATAATTTTATAGCTGTCTCAGGTGCTGCAGTCTGTCCACTGATACCCCCAGCTGTTTCACTAAGTTGGTGGTCTGGTCCAGAATCCAAGCGAGGCTTGGTTTTTCCAAGTGTGTGTGCTCTTGTGTTCTGCACCATTCGGAAAGTGAACAGTGTCCTGCTAGGACTCTCGTCAGAGGTTCTGTTCAACTCAGCACTGTTTTCACAGAGTCTTTCATCTTTAGCTTCATCAATCTTTTTCTCAGCTGGAACTCCATGACAAAGGTCCATATCCTCAATGGAGTCCAATAAATCTGTAACTTGGGCCTGTGACGTGACTGATTTCAGACGTTTGAGCACACACTCTTCGCACTGGCCAACTGCATCCAGAAGATTATTTATTTTGCTGATCAAAGCTGAACTATTGCCATGAAGGTGACACCAGAAGAGGAAAGCACTCAGTGTTCCCCTGAGTAGTCCATAGTTTATGACTTCTGCACCTTCTTTGTAACCTTGATTGAAGTCCTGTTGAAGAGTGACTGCTTTGCCTGCATCTATTCCATCTCTGTAGCCTTCTTGGATTCGCCTCTGCATGTGGCCCTGCCATTCCCACTGCACTAACAGAGTCTCGTCTGCTTCCTCGTCAAACCCATCCTGATCCCCAGGGCTTAGGATCTTGGGAACAGATCGAACCCAAGACCCAAAAACAGTTATTAAGAATTACAGTTACAATATCCAGTCCATTTGTATTTGACAAAATTAGAGAAAACACTCATTTATTTTATCTTGGTGAGTCTAAAGTTTCACATTTAATTTATCTTGTATCATAACTAAGAAAAACTATAACTATGACTATCTAGTCTTCAACTCCATCAAAGACCCCAAAAGGATGAAATGTTACCTAATGACAGGAACATCTCGCTGTCTGGACAGTCACCCAAAGTTTCTCTGTAATTTTAGGGCATCCATCTCTGGCCTATAGGCCTGGCATACCTGACAGACTTTCCTGTAAAGCATGAAATTCTGAAGGACATTCCTCCCTTGTCTTGGCAAAGTTCAGCAGTTGCCTTTTTAAATTAATTAATTAATTATTATGTATACAGTGTTCTACCTACATGCCAGAAGGGGGCACCAGATCTCATTATAAATGGTTATGAGCCACCATATGGTTGCTGGAAATTGAACTCAGGATCTCTGGAAGAGCAGCCAGTGCTCTTAACCTTTGAGCCATCTCTCCAGCCCCAGCAGTTACCTTTCTTATGTCCTGATGCTCCAGTTTTGACAGTAACTGTCAGCAATTAAGGCAAGGGCAGTTTCTTTGCCCATATGGCTAGCTTTGGCCATAAAGAAAGCAAACTCCATACGGATCTTCAATGCCCATCATTTTCTCTGAAGTAGATCAGTGCTGCCAGAAGCAGACATGTCTCATTGTCTTGAAAAGCCTTAGGTTATTAAACATCTTAAATGCCATATTCTATAGGTCTTTGAAGTGTTTAAAGACCATCTATCTAAATATAACTGTGTATGACCTTGAAAATATACCTAACATGACTAAAAGTTTGACTATTACAGATGATTACTAATCTGTATTTCTTAGTTATATATTACATTCTTAAATGAGTTGCATAAACACAATATCCCAAACAAGAGTAGAAACATACATACAGTATAACAGAAATAACTTTAAAGTTGTATCAAGAAATCAAAATCCATACCAATGTAAAATATCTTGAGATTAAGAACTTTTTTAAATTAAAGTAGATTCAATAATCTACCCTTTTATCTTATCATTTCTATATCCTCTCCCCCTTTTGAAAGAGATCATTGAATTTAACTCTTTTGTTCAGCTTTTTTTCTAAATTTGACCAATGACAATTTGTAACCAGAGCCCCCTAAATGATAATAAACATCCATAACCCATTTTTTTGGGAATGTGGGCAGTTTTCTACACTACTTCCTATTGACTGGGGACACTGGTAATCTTTGGGGGACCCTGAGAAAATTGGGATAATAATGAAGTCCCGGTTGTAGTAATCCATGAGGTTGGATCATCTTAGCCAGTCACTTTGAAGCTGTTCTGGATTCAGAACTCAGAGGAAACTGCAACAAAGTGCTCCAAGACATTGGATCATCTGGGCCATCTACTCCCATCAGAGTTTTCAGGGTGTCTTCCTCAATCAAACCTGATTTTCCTTAAACCCGAATGAATCCATAGCCTCTCATTTCATGTGGAAATAAAAGCATAACCTCTCCCCCAAAGTAACATATCTTTTGAATTAAATTTTGAAGTCAAGGGTTTTTTTTAAATATATAGGTTGGTTTAACCCAGCAGTTTCCATAATCCAAAGTCTCTTAGCAGCCAAAAAATGCAAAGACAACACAATAACATACAAGATTCAGACTCTTTGTATATTTCTCATCTTCACGTGACTTTTTTCTTTTATATTACTTTACTCTTTTTAAAGGACTTTATTTTATTATTTGAGAACTATATTTTTCTTTTTTATGACTATTTCTTTTTTCTCCCAAGCCTTTGCATGTTTTTAAACATACCATGACCCTTTTAGAGGCTCTTCTTTGTCTGAATCTGTCCTTACTGTGCATCTGTAACCTTTGTTGTCTGCATGAGCAAAAACAAAACAAAACAAAACTGCTGTGCAACTTAAATCATGGTGTACTAGCAGCCGGCTCCTCCCCCTCAGTTCCCTGAGAGTCTAGTCTCATGGTGGAGGCACATTTATTGCCAGCTCTGAAAGCCATGTTTACCATCCCAACTTTGAGAAGTTTCTGGGTCCATGCCTCCACTGAGTAGTATGCTATCAGCTGCTCATAAACTCCATTTAAGTGTTAGCAGGGCTTCTGAAAAGAGCTGTTGCTATTTTTTGCCGCTAGCACTGAGCCAGGAAGGCATCTCTTAAAGGAGCCATACCTCTGCTTGCCACCAGAAAACAGAGCCCGCAGGAGAAAAAGTGGTTACCAAGAAGCCATGTTTGACTCTGTTTTTGTGTTTTTAGAGTAATTCTCCAAGCTCTCTGAGGTTTTATATGGAAATTTCAGCCACACATTGGAATGACATATGTAGGTGGAGTTTTCCTGTCCTGACCACCTGCTCCCAAAAAACTGACACAGAAGCTTAATATTACTTACAAATGCTCAGTTGATAGCTCAGGCTTGTTACTAGCTAACTCTTACACTTAAATTAACCCATATTTCTTATCTATGCTTCACCACATGTCTTATGGCTTGTTACCTCATTTCCTATACATCCTGTTTCCTTGGCAGCTGACTGGCATCTCCCTGATTCTGCCCTTCCTCCTCCCAGAGTCCTCTGTATCTAGTTATCCTGCTTTTTATTAACCAGTGAGAGTAATACATATTCACAGGGTACAGAAGGATTATTCCACAGCAGGAAACCTCAAAGCCCACCCCCACAGTGACACATTTCCTTTAACAAGGCCATATCCACTCCAACAAAGCCACACCTCCTAATAGTGCCACTCCCTATGATATTATGGGGGCCAATTACATTCAAATTACCACATTACACTCCCTGGCCACTATAAGCTTGTAACAAATGCAAAATGCATTTAGTACACCTTCAAAAGTTCCCATAGTCTATCAGTCTCAACAATGTTTAAAAGTCCAAAGTTCAAAGTCTCTTCTGAGATTCATGAAGTTTCTTAACTGTAACCCCCTGTAAAATCAAAATAAAAAAGCAGATTACATACTTCCAACATATCATGGCACAGGATATACATTACCATTCCAAAACACAGGGAAAGAAGCATAGCAAGGAAATACTGGACCAAAGCAAGACCAGCTAGGAAAACGCCAAACTCTGCATCTCCATGTCTAATGTCAAAACGCTCTTCAGATCTCCATCTCCTGTCAGCTTTGTTGATTGCAACACACTTCTTTCTCTTGTGCTATTTCCACTCCCTGTTAGCAGCTTTCCTCAGCAGGTACCCCACAACTATGGCATCTCTAACGTCTTGGGTTCTCCAAGGCAATCTAGGCTTCAACTTTACAGCTTCATGTAAATGGCCTCTCTAGGCCTCTATTCAGGGACACCCCTGACTTATGTCTGGGCTCAGTAGCTTTCCTTAGGCACGGAGGTAAATTCCATAACCTGTTTCTTCTATCCTTAACTCTAAAGCCAGAACCACATGGCCAAAGCTGCCAAGTTCTACTGCTTACTGGGGCTGGAACATGACCCCCTCATTCAATTTTATCTTCACCAGCTTTCTGTTTTCTCTCTTCACGGCCTAAGCTTAGCTATCCTGAAATTGGATTTGTAGACTAGACTGGCCTCAAACTCAGAGATACACCCGCCTCTGCCTTCCAAGGGCTGAGATTATAGGTGTATACCACCTGTAGCATGAATCCTAATTGGTCTTGATAATAAAAACCCAGAGCCAGATATCAGGGTAAATGCTGAAAGGGCAGCAAAGGAGCCAGCCACTAGAGAGACTGCCCAGACATAAAATTTTCTGTCTCAACTTCCCTTGTGCTGGGATTAAAGGCATTTGTGCCTCCCAAGTACTGGAAGCAAAGCATGAGATCCAAAGTCCTGGGATTAAAGGTGTGTGCCACCACTGCCTGGCCTCTATGACTAACTAGTGGCTGGCTTTGCCCTTTGATCTTCAGGCAAGATTTATTTGTTAGATCATACACAAAATATCACCACACCACTACACCTGGCTCTGAGCTTTTCTTTAATTCACAAATTGGAAATTCAGCTGAGTGAGATCTTGCCTGAGGTCACCACTCCCTTTATTTAATTTCTTAATCTATCTCCTTGAACACAGGATTTCGTTTATGGACAAGGGCAAAACCCTGCCATTTCTTCATCAAAATATTACAAGACCAGTCTCTAGGCCATGCACTAACATTCTTCTCCTCTGAAACCTCTCGATCCCCAAGTTCATCAAATCACATTCAGCACCACTGTCTTCCATGCTTCTACTAGTATGGCCCATTAAGCAACACTTAAAGCATTTCCCTATTTTCCTAACCCAAAGTACCAAAGTCCATATTACTCCAAACAAAAACATCATGGTCAGGCCTATCATAGCAATACTCCAATCCCTGGTACCAATTTCTGTTTTAGTTAGGTTTTTCTTTTGAATGGCAGAGGCAGGTTTAATGGTGTCACTTTGTCTTGTTAATGAGCCAGCCCCCCTAGTTAGGGTTTTTATTGCTGTGAAGAGACACCATGACTCTCATAAATGAAAACTCTCATAAATGAAAATATTTAATTGGGGTGTTGCTAGAGTTTTCCTGCCTGGCCCACAGTCAGGACAAATCTCTCTCACCCGCCAGTCCCAAGCCGCTCAAACCTGATCAAGTAAACACAGACACTTATATTGGTTACAAACTGTATGGCCGTGGCAGGCTTCTTGCTAACTGTTCTTACAGCTTAAATTAATCCATTTCTATTAATCTATACCTTGCCACGTGGCTTGTGGCTTACCGGTACTTTACATCTTCCTTATCCTGATGGCGGCTGGCAGTGTCTCCTCCTCCAGCTTTCTGTTCTCTCAATTTTCCTCTCTGTTAGTCCCGCCTATATTTCCTGCCTGGCCACTGCCAATCAGTGATTTATTCATTGACCAATCAGCAACACATTTGACATACAGACCATCCCACAGCATTGGGGTGGCTCACAGTTTCAGAGTTTCAATCCATTATCA